TCACTGAATGTTTTTATGTTTGTCTCTGATTTGCTTTCAAGTCTGTTTCCACTGCTGGTACTGCAGCTGATTATTAAAGGGATTATTCTGCTGGTATTTATTACAGAGAATATTCAATTAATAACATTAATTTCATTTTCATTTGGCCAAAAATTAAATTCATACCCTGTATTATGGGACAGTGTCAGACCTAACTGCACTTCAATACAAGATCAGGTTTAAATATATGAAGTTTAAAGTTTAACTTTCTTGATAAAATAATACACATTAACACGTTTAACGGTTAATACCAGCATTGTGTCTTGCATCATTTGCAGTAGCGGCGTTTTTTATTGTCATAATGTTTATATTCCTCTTTGTTTTCCATTAAAACAACGTGTTGACTGAAGCAGCTGAACACCGTCGTTTCATTTAGTGCAGAAGAAGATTCACGATTTAAACGCGTCCTTTAGGCTGAAGCAGAAAGTCTGAGTCGACAACGAAAGTTTAAACCACCTTCGTGATACCCGTGACCTCTGGCTGGGGCTTTTGTTTTTGTCGAGTCGACTTACACAAAGAAAGTCTGGATATGTCAGACTTACTAGTTCAGCCCTTAGACCTCAGTCCAGTAGAACCTTTGGGATGTGGGGGAACTGGCATCATGGATGTGCAGCTGACAAATCTACAGCAACTGTGTGATGTTGTCATGTCAACATGGACCAAAAGCCGTGAGGAATCTTTCCAGCAACTTGAAACAAAGAATTAAGGCAGTTCCTTTTATTTTTTTAAGCTTTTTTTGGGGGGCCTTTTTGCCTTTATTATATCAGACAGTGAAGAGAGAGACAGGAAAGTGGGGGAGAAGAACGGGGGAAGGACCTGCAGCAAAGTGCCGTGAGCAGGATTCGAACCCATGACCGCTGCATCGGGGACTTGAGCCCCTACACATGGGTCGCCAGCTCAACCAGGTGAGCTGTAGTGGCGGCCCGAATTAAGGCAGTTCTGAAGGAAAAGGGACCAACCAGGTACGAGCAAGGTGGACCTGAAGAAGTGTAGATGGAGGACAAATAAAATGTTGGGAGAGCCTCCAGAAAGCTGCTTTTATTTGGCGTTGGCACATTCACCATTTTACTTTTTTGTCATCGGAGAGTGCAACAACCCACCAAGATTTTCTGAAATGCATGTAATTCAATGTCTGCCTTATCGGCTACGATATTTTTAATCGACTGAATTATTAATTAATTAACATCCTTGTTGTGAACCCTATAAAAGCACCCTGTAGCTCTGTTTTGCTGATCTCTTGTTGAGGATAAACTGTAATTTCCCTTTGAGACAAATAAAAAAGCGCCTGCTGTGTTCGTCCTCCTGTTTGTCACATGCAGATGATGCTGAGTGGAAAACGTGAAGTCATCCAGGAGGAAAAAACACGGTGCACGAAGCGAGTGTGCACAAGGAGGTGTGTGTGTGTGTGTGAGAGCGAGTCAAGGTGGCCAGATGTTCCACTGACCCACTTTAAGGTAATGTTCTGTCCCGGTGTTTTTCCATGTTCTCACGCCGGCTCACCGACTACCTGGAGCTGAAACGGACTGTCCTCGCGTTTAATCCTCTTCCTGGACGTTGGTCTTCAGACTGCGCTCGACGTTGTGGCCGACTAACCAGGTAGACCGAACCGTTAACACGCTGTTCCCCAGTTTTTTTTCCAAAACAAAACAGATCTGACCTCCTGTTCATCGGTGTTCTGTCTTTACTGTGCAGCTGAAGCTTCCTCAGACCCTTAAACACCTCAGTAGCACACAGGCTGCCTTGGAGTTTTATGTCATGACTATGAGCGATTGCCCCTTTTCTCTCTCTTTCACCCAAATGGTTGAGGAGGTACAGTCACGTGGGAAAATGCAGGCAGAGCTGATTCTGTTGTCTGTGTTCAGGCAGCAGTAACTTGCCAGCGCTTTGTGCGACCGTAGTACATATAACATCGTCGTAAAGCTCGTTTTCTCTTCTGTCTGAAACCGTTTGAACTTTCTCTCTGGCGCAAACGATAACTGAGTTGCGGTAATTTAAAGAGCGCTTGTAAAATGTAATTCTGATGCGCCTCAGATTTGTCAAAACCGAAGCAGAGGTTCCTTTTGTTCAGCTGGAGATGAGCGAGGAGGGAAACTGGGAGAGGAATAAAACACTAAATTGAGCCTGTATGTGTGTGTGTTTACTTTGCCGACTTTCAAAACCATAAAAGGAATTCAACTGATCTCCAAAACTAAATATCAACCACTTGAACAAACACCTTAAAAAACAGATCGTCGATGTGAAAAGTGAAGCACGTTGCGGGTCTCTTTCTGCAACTTTAAATGGTTTTAAAAGGTCGCGTACCTTCCAGGCTGCCGGGTTTCTCGGCGATGCGGATCTGTCTCTCCGGGACGACGGGTTCGCCCTCCGAGTTTCCGATGTCGGCCGGAATAAGAGGCAGGAAAGTCCTCTCCTCGTCCTCGGAGCGAGGGTAGTACAGAGGCAGCAGCTTCTTGTACACCGACTGAAAGAACGCACACATGAATACGTCCGTTTTTAAATTATCATTCATATTAATCTATGCTTAGGGTGAGTTGCTTTAACATTTATCAGCTGATGTTAACTAACCAGGAATAAAAGTAGTTTAGTGTATTCTGCAGGGAAAGCAAACAATGAAAAGCAATAATCAAGAATTTCCGTTGAGATTTATAAAGTTGTATCTTATAATCACACCAGCTAGCAGCTAATTAGCATCTGTTGTCTCTGAGAACAACCACAGAGCAACTAATAACATCAGTAAGAGTCATAAATGAAAGGTAATCGTTGGCGGTGACAGGTCTGCGCCGACTTCAGCCAGACGTTGAGGCTCGTTTTGAACTCTGCAAGGCTTCCTGAATCTATACAGTTAGTGGGGATTAGCTCCACTTGAGAGGAATTAAAGATCCTAAACCAGAACTACGACTCGTCATAATCAAACCGTAGACATCTGAAATTTCAACTTCACGTGACAGTGCATCTGGATATCTGCGATACATATACAGTCGTTTTAGCGTTAGCATGTTAGCATTTCACTCACACTGCCGCACATAACTGCAACCCGAAAGTGTATTTTTAGTCTTTCTTTCCTCCATTTTCTGTGCATAACTTCAGTCATTGTGTATTTAGCGTCGAGGACTTCCAAATAGAGGTGATCTACGCTCAGTGCTGCACCTGAACGCCTCCAAAGTTCAAGCTGCGTTGCGAAACGTGCTGCTACTCTTTTTGTGTATTCATACATTGCAGACAAATGACTGGACCTAAATCAGAGGAACATGTGGGTTCAGGCTTTCAGAAAGTTAGACGTTTGCCTTAAGCAGGACTGTAAGAGACTCGGGCCGCTTTAATCAGAGCGCTTGTCCAGTGATCAAACATGGTCTAAAACCGTCTGGACTTTTGCCATTTGGAGCAGCTGTGTGAGAGGTTTCCAGACTCTGTCAACCTGGCTTCTCTGAGTTTACAAAGCTGAAATTACATTTTTAGCAACGTCGACCTTGACCAGCGAGGGTGCAGCTTTCTCAGCTGACTCAGCCAATCACACACTGGAAAATTAAACTGAACACAAATGGCAGGGTTTTTCAAGCTGAATTATTTGCTACTACTATTGTGTAATGCAGGAACCGACCTCCTCTGTGTCGGACACGGCGAACACCACCGTCTCGATGCTGTTTCCGTGATTCTCCAGGAACCTGCGCACCGTCCCTGAGAACACATAAACACCTGTTAGCTCATATAGGAACACAGATCATAGACTTGACAACTAATGGGAATGTTGATTGATCAGTTACAGATAGAAAATCGGCACCTCTACGGGAAAAAAAAGAGCAATTTCATGTTAGAAATCATCAAAATTTTGTGCTTTTCTGTGGATCGGGTGATCGATTAATCTCGTTATTTTCAACAATTTCCCTGAGGAGCATCGCAAGGGTGGAAAATCAGACGATTCTTTCTGTTTTTATTCTGTCATTTTGGCGATTATCTAAACACAACGAGCTTTTGAAGCTACAGGTTTGTCTTACTGAAAGCGATGTGCGTGGCGTCCTCCAGCGGATAGCCTCTCTTGGTGGTGCTGACCACACAGAAGCCGACCGACGCCATCGACTGCTCTCTGTGGAGACAAGAAAAAGGAAATATCACATCACTATGGTTTCCCCTAAAACACAAACAGTGTCTCTGAAATCTTTCAAACTACGCCAAAAATAAAAGCCCTTTAAGGTAATTCTTAATCCATCTCTATTATTCTCTCTTTACATTTTGTACTGGTGCTTTACATGCAAATACGAGAATTTATATAAAGTTTTGCTTCCATGACGGCTAAAACCTGCAGATCTGCAGCATTTAACAAAAGACAATGAATCAAATCGAGTCAGTAAACTGCTTCTCATGTGTGAAGCTGTTGACTTCTTGTTGCCTTTTAATGAGTGAACATGTTCAGCAAAAACCAGACGCAGCTTCAGTCCAAACAGTGTCATGATGTCTTGTAAAAGCATTCCTTCAGAACGGGCTGGAAAGCTCTGAAAGACTTTCATCAAGACTCCGTTTGTTTGTTGTTCATCAAACACATCAGAGGGGAACCGAAGGGCTGAAGCCTGAAGAGTTTTGTCGCGATCACTCAACACAGATTTAACGCTGCTCGTGCTAAACGCTGCTTTGAAGGATGAAGCGATGAGCCGGTTGGATTCTTACGCGGCCAGCTGCATGATGTTCCTGTAGCAGCTGTACAGCGAGCTCTCCGCCGCCGTCCGGTACTTGGCTTTGAACTTTGGTCCCACCGTGTGGACGATGAACCTCGCCGCCAGGTTGAAGCCTTTGGTCAGCTTGGCCTCGCCCGTCCGACATCCTGCGAGCAGACGCACAAATCGTTTACCGTTCGGTACAAAATGAACTAAAACACAGCTTCTACAAATGCATTGCAGGTGAATGACGTGACTTTTGGTGCTCACAGCAGTAAAACAAATGACGTCCTGGCCGTTGTTGAAAATGAAACACCACGAAAATTACCTTTTTTTAGGGGCTATTTTTGCTAGAAAGCACTTCTAGTATTAAAGTCGCAGATTTGACTGTTTTCCCCTCCTTGTATTTGGTTCAGACTTTAGCAGAAAAGAAATAGATAGCTGGATTCAACTAGAGCAGGGGTCTCGAACTCCGGTCCTCGAGGGCCGCAATCCTGCAAGTTTCAGATGTTTCCTTCTTCCAACACACCTGATTCAAATGATCAGCTCATCATCAAGCTCTGCAGAAACCTGATAACGATCCTGATCATTTGAATCAGGTGTGTTCGGAGTTCGAGAACCCTGAACTAGAGGAAAGTGCACAAGTGAACGTTTTTACAGAGGATAAATTGGGATTGTTGAGGAGGATTTGGGCTCACTGCTGCAGAAGCAGACCCTTTTATCATTTAAATTATTTTAAATATTTAATATTTGCATTTAATTCAGAAAACTCTGAACTGTATTGGATGTAATGTATTTTACAAAATCCAAAACGTGCAATATTTTGTCTTGGAAAAACAACGGTGTTGTTATGATCTCCACTGCCACTAAAGAGTATTTCAGCCGTCCTTAAAGTTCATATGTGGTATTTCTATCCTGGTTATTTTTTATGCTTTGCTGCTGCATCACTGAGCTTTTTCTCAGCAGACAGAAGCTCATCTCATCTCGACCTTCTACCTTTGAGTTTGAGCAGCTCGTCCCTCAGCTCCGGTCCGGCCAGCTGGTGGATGCTGTCTGAAACCGGGTTCTTGTCGTTCAGCGACTCGTTGCTGGTGTTCACGATGGCGGTGCAGTTCAGCAGAGCGACGTCCCCGGTGCTGGTGCAGCCACAGAAAAACACACCGTTAAAACATTACATACACTTAAATATGCAGACACACTCACATCTGGCGACACACAACAAGACAACTATGTTTAGATTTACCTTCACGCAAAAGTCAGTCCAAGTTTGTTGTAAGATTTTTTTCTATTTATTTATTTCATTAATTTTATTTATTATTTGTTTTTATTTA